GGGGAGACACTTCCGAAACGACCGTATGAGGTCAGCATTATGCTAATAGCAAAGCCAGACACAAATAGTACAAAAATGAAAACTACAGACCAATATCCCTCACGGACAAATGCACAAAAACCCTCAGCAAAATAAAAGTAGATTAAATCCTGCAACATATGAAAAAAATAATATATCACAACCAAGTGATATCCCAGGAGTTGAGGGCCAGCTCAGCATGCAAAAATCAACGGTTGGAATACTTTACCCCAGAAACAAAGAAAGAAAAAGTGTATCATTATTTCTGGAGATGCAGGAAAGGCATTTAATAAAATCCAATTCAAAAATAAAATAAAATAAAATCCAATTCATAAAAGAAGTCTCAAAAATAAATAAATAAATAAAATTAAAAAATAAGAAGTCTCAGCAAACCAGCAATATGAGGGAACTTCCCTGACTTGATAAAAGGCAACTACAAAAAGCCTACAGCTAGCACACTTAAAAGGTAAAAGACAAAAAAGAAAAAAAAAAGGTAAAAGACTAAATGCTTTTCCCCTAGAATCAGGGGAAAGGCCGGGGCGTCTGGTCTCATCACCTGTAAGTAATATTGATAGCAAACTATAAACAAGCCTCCCAGAACTAAATAAATATGTGACTTCAGCAAGGTTGTAGGATACGGGGTGAATACATAGAAATCAGTGGACAAACTGATTCTGAAACCGATAAGCAAAGGCAAAGGACCTAGAATAGGCAAAAACAGCTCTGAAAAGAAAAACAAAGTTGGAGGGCCAAATCTGCCGGGCTCCAAGAATTATCATAAAACTCCTGCCATCAACACAGCATAAAGCTGAACAAAGGAATCGGTGTAACAGACTAGAGAACACAGAATTGCATCTACCAATCACAACCGATTCATCTTTCACAAAGTTGCAAAAGTAATTCAATGGAGTAAAGACAGTCTACGCAATAAGTGGTATTGGAACAAAAGGACTAAGGTCGCAAAAAAAAAAAAAAAAAAAAAAAGAAAAACCCACAACCTAAATCTCACACCTTTGACAAAATTTGACTCAAATGGATCATTGAGTAAATATAAAATATTCAATTATATAACCTTTAGGGGAAAAAACCAAAATCTTTCAGATCTAGGGCTAGGCAAAGAGTTCTAAGGTTGTTTTTTTAAAATGTTTTATGTATTTGGCAGAGAGCACAAGCAGGGGGACAGAGGGAGAGGGAGAAGGAGAAGCAGGCTCCCCCGCTAAGCAGGGAGCCCCATGTGGGGCTTGATCCCAGGACCCTGAGATCGTGACCTGAGCCGAAGTCAGATGCTTAACCCACTGAGCCCCCCAGATGACGCTGAGTTCTTAGACTTAACATTAAAATCACAATCCATAAGGGAACGTTTGATAAATTGGATCTAATTAAAACTTCAAACTCCTTGTCCTACAAACATACTGTAAAGAGAATGAAGGGGCACCTGGTGGTTCAGTAGGTTAAGTGTCCGACTCTTGATTTTGGGTCAGGTCATGATCCCAGCGTCGTGAGGTCAAGCCATGCATCAGGCTCTGTGCTCAGTGAGGAGTCAGCTTGTCCCTCTCCCTCTGCTCCTCCCGTCTCTCTCCCTCTCTCCCAAATAAATACATTAAAATAAAATCTTGGGGGACGCCTGGGTGGCTTAGTGGTTGAGCGTCTGCCTTTGGCTCAGGACATGATCCTGGAGTCTGGGGATCGAGTTCTGCGTTGGGCTCCCTGCACGGGGCCTGCTTCTCCCTCTGCCTGGGTCTCTGCTTCTCTCTCTGTGTCTCTCATGAATAAATAAATAAGATCTTTTTTAAAAAATATTTAAGAAAACCTAAATATGATAATACAAGTCCTCAGTGTAATGCATGGGATATATAGACCATTCAATACATGTGAATTATTATCCTTTATTATCATTGCTGTTACAGCACTCTTTAAAATTGAGAAAGTAAAAAGGCAAATGTGCATTAATAGAAAAAGTGTTAAAGTACGTCACTTCAATTACAGAAATATTAGGTACTGGTCTAAAAGAATGAAGCAGGGCAGCCCCGGTGGCCTAGTGGTTTAGCCTCTCTCTGTGTGTCTGTCACAAATAAGTAAATAAATAAATAAATAAATAAATAAATAAATAAATAAATAAATAATAAATAAATATCTTTAAAAAATAAAAATAAAGGAATGAAGTAAATCAATCTGCATTAATCTGGAAAGATGTCCAGAATCATTGTGAAAAAGGCAAACTGCAGGACACTTGTAGAGTATGATCTCATTTGTGTAAAAATAAAATCGCTATGTTTTGAAGAAATTTTTCTACAATGATACTCACCAAACTGCTAACAGTTGTTATCCCTAGGGAGGGGAGTGGTGTGAGGAGGAGTTCAGAGAAATGGGGGCTCTTGCTTCTTATTCTACTTATTCCTAGATTGTTTGAATTTTTACCAGGATCTATAACAATATTTTTGATACACACAATACAAAGCAAAAGCGTCAACTATCTGCTAAAGGAGTGGGGTGGGGGATCCCTGGGTGGCGCAGCGGTTTGGCACCTGCCCTCAGCCCAGGGCGTGATCCTGGAGCCCCAGGATCGAGTCCCGTGTCGGGCTCCCTGCATGGAGCCTGCTTCTCCCTCCTCCTGTGTCTCTGCCTCTTTCTGTGTGTGTCTCTCATGAATAAATATATTTACTATTATTATTTCTCTGTCTATGATAAATAAATAAATAAAATCCTTAAAAAAATTCAAAAAAAAAATAAAAGAGGGGGCGATAAAAATAACCTGATTGCCTTGTCTCAGGGATTCAAGAGGATGGAGCAGGAGCTTACCTTGGACTGAAATATTAACCTAAAAATAGACTCCGCTTGCACTTGTAACTTAACCAACAGGAGCCGGGCTGCTGGCTGGCCCGGGGCCCCAGGACGGAGTCCTCGCCTGCCTGTGCCACTAAGCACCTTGGTTACGTGCTCGGGTTCCAGACGGCAGCCCTCCCTCCGATCGCTTTCACGATCGATCACGGGCTGGACTCAGAGTAGGTGCTCGGCTGAAATCAAGAACGACGACCCCTGGCAATATGCGAATTCAAGGTGGCTGTGTAGACGCGGCCGGCCGGGTCCCGTTGGCTTGACTCACGATCGCCATCTGGTGGCAGCAGGGATTCCTGCCGGAGCCGGAGCTCGGAGCCCGGCCAGGCGTGTTCTGGGGTGCCCTGCACAAAACACCGCGGCCGCCGAGGGAGCGCGAGCGTCCGAGGGCACAGCTATGGGGTCACGGTCTAGCCTTCGGGGGCCGCTAGACTACGTCGACGTGCTGCTACGTGTTAAGTGTCCTGCATCAGCACCTCGTCACCAGACGCTCCCCACTCCTACCAGCTGCTCAAAGTCCACACTCGCTACACCTGATTCGGTCAAAGACAATGACCACTTGTGGTTCTAGGTCTACACCGGATGCTTTGCCAGAATTGATGAAACCCTACTAAGCTTTCCTAAGCCCGTGTGGTCGGGACAAGATAGAAAACAAGAGCAGAAATCTTCTTGGGAGTGCGTGTCAGTCTGAAAATAACGTGGTGCGCCCTGTGAGAAGGGCTTGGCCGCCTGTGCGGGACTCAGGGGACAGGTTTTCTTGTCCTGCGTCCCTTGAGCACCATCGAGTCCTCCAAGTAGGTTCACTGCTAGGGAAGCAGCTGAGTGACAACAGTGGGAGAAATGCTGTAGCTTGTGTTTGGGGACAGGGGACTGAAAGACAGTGGTGAATCGACACGGTGGCAGCTCAGGTGAGCCATCTCGGTGGCCATCCGTGTGTGACATCTACGTGCTCAGCTGAACAACAGTCCTGCAAAATGTTGCTCGGCCGAGGGTCGCCTGGGTGGCTCCGTGGGTTGAGCATGTGAGTCTTGATCTTGGGGTTGTGAGTGCCAGGCCCATATGGGGTCTAGAGAAAACTTCAAAAAAATCAGTTAAAAATGAAGAAAAAGGGGTCCCTGGGTGGCTCAGTGGTTTAGCACGTGCCTTGGGTCCAGGTCATGACCGAGGGTCCCGGGATTGGATCCCGCGTCGGGCGCCCTGCGTGGAGCCTGCCTCTCCCTCTGCCTGTGTCTCTGCCTCTGTCTGTGTCTTTCTGTGTTTCATGAATAAATAAATAGAATGTGTCTTAAAATCAGGGGAAAAAAAGCAATGAACAAGTGCAGCTTTGAAAACCTTTGTAAAACGCCGCTCAGCAGAGCAAACAACAAAACGTTCTCAGGGTTGCTGGCGCAGGCCGCTGCCTGCTTCAGGGGGAAGGGGCCAGTGGCCGAGGAAGTTCCTGCTCTCACATGGGTCCCGTCACCCCTCGTGGCGGGATTCACTCCCCATTCAAGTGTTTCCCGTTTGGCGTCCTCGGGTGGCACACGGTGCGTGCAGGGAGCGCGGAGCTGGACGCGGGCCCCGGGCTGGGGGCGCGCTGGGCGGCACAGCCGTGTCCGGGGCGCTCGCTGCGGCCCCGCGCGTTGGTGGCCGGGCGGTGGGGGCGGCGCGGGCGGGACCCGGGAGCAGCCGCAGCCCCGTGTGTGTGTGTGTGCGCGCGCGAGTCCCCGCGGGAGCGCGCTCAGCGACCCGGCCCCGGCCACCGCGGAGGACAGCGGGCCACAGGGCGGGCGCAGCGCGTGCGGCTCGGCGCGGGACGGCCCGGGGGCCGCGCCCTCCCTGCCGAGCGCCGGGGCCGGGGCCGCCGCAGTCCGCGGTGCCGCGGCGGCTGCCAGAGCGCGGTGTCAGCGGAAAGAGCCGGGGAGCGACGGCGGAGGAACCGGAGGCCGCCGCGGAAGGCTCCGGGCCGCGCGCGCCCGTGACAGCCGCGTCGGGGGCGCCCCGGGGGTGCCGAGCCCCGCCGCCCCGGCCCCCGCGCCCTCCCCGCCCGGCCGTCCGCGCCGGCCTCCGGCCCCCGAGCGCGACGCGTCCCCGCCAGTCCCCCGCCCGCGGTGGCCCGGCCCGACGTGCGAGCCCGCGGCGCGCGGCCCCGGGGCGCCCCCACTCACGTAGCGCTGCAGCTTCCTCTCGGGGGGCGACTTGACGAGCCAGCCCGTGCACACGGCGTCGCCCGCACTCATCGTGGCCGCCGCCGCCGCTTCCTCCAGCTGGGTCGCCGCGGCAGGAGGAAGTCGGCCGGGGATGCCGGCGGGGCGGGCCCAGCGCCGCCCGCCCCGGCACCGCCCCGGCCCCCGCCGCGACCCCCGCCCCCGGCCCCCGCGGCCCCCCGGCGGGGACGGCGCCACCGCCCGCCGCCCGGACGGCGCGGGGGAGCGCGCGGCGGCGGCCGGGGCGGCCCCCGGGGCCGCGGGAGCCCGGGCTCGGGCCGCACCTGCGAGGCGCCCGCGGCGGCGGGAGGAGGCGGGCGGCCCGCGCCCCGTCCGGGGCCCTCGAGCGTTTCCGCGGATCGGCTCTCGCCGCCGCCCCCCCGGATCGTGCGGTCCGCGCGGCTCATATGGGCCCCGGAACCCGCGGCTCCCCAGCCTCAAAGCTCGCAAGCCGCCAGCGAAGCCCCGGGCCGGGGTCTCCCGGGATGGGCGCACGCACCCCGGGAAATGGGCCTCAGCATCGGCCCACCCTGCCGGCCAGGAACGTGAGAAACCCACACTTTGTCAACAGAGAAGCGCGCGTGATTACCGCGACCGTGGGCACCCACGAAGCGCACGTACCTGACCCTTGCTCCCCGCGCCACCACCCTGACCCGCAGCGCCCGGGGCCCCTCCTGAGCTGCCCCTCCCGTGAAAGTGACGCTACACTGCGTGTTATTCTATATGTTGGCAAATCGAACACCAATAAAAATAAATTAAAGACAAAAAAGAAAGTGACACTACGAAGAGAGACTTCTTGGCCTCCTACCCTACATTCGAAATCTCGAGAAAGACACAACTCCCTTGTAGGGCACCAATCCTCTGCTCTCATAGGATCGCTCACGCTTTCATGGAGGAAACAGAATGTGCTAGAAGTGTCTCAACAAAAATGGGACTTAATTTACGAATGGAGCTGCTCACAAAATCATTGGGTGCTGGAGCGCGGGGGCCCAGGGCTACCCCCATCCTAGGCTCCAAGGCCACATCACCCAGACGCTATGACTTCGGCCAAGCTGGCCTCCAGCTAGTGGCACGGCTCAGAGCCCACTCGGCCCTGAACACCACCACCAGCCCCCACTTGCCTGCGGCCCCTCGCCCCCCTCCAGGGTATCACATTAGCCACACCTAATTCACAACCAGAGATCCACATTCAGGGGACTGTGATAAATATCATTCTATTTGTTTCTTTGGTTTTTTGTTTCATTTTGTTTCTTTTTTTGCTCTCCCACCTTTCCAAATAGGGTGAAATGAAACTTTCGGGAAACCACATATGCACCAGAGGCCACCCGCTACCTAGTCAACATCCATACACACCCTGTGCACAAACCACACGTACTTCGCAACAACACCTTGCCCCCAGGGAAATGATGTTGCCGTCGCTCCTACAAACTGAAAAGCACTCCTAAAAACAGGAGACCAAAAGTTCCATTAGTCATTGTAGCCACATCTACGGGAGACTCCGTGCTTCTCTACTTCACGCATCACCCCACCTCAGTATCCTAGACCTCAAGAACAAACACTATAGAGCTGACCTGTCACCTTTATTTGAGATCTATCCAACATACGAAAAAAAAGTTGCAAGATTTTGTACGTACGCACAGTTACCGCGATTCTTATTCCTAGAACTGCTCTTGAGACCATAATTGGTCTTTATGATCTTCCTTCTTCTACTACCTTCTCTGTCCTCCCTTTGTTCTCAAACCAAGAACCCAAGGGGTCAGAACCCTTTATGGATCTCGTGACTGACCCAAACCTTGACTGCCCCCAAACCCGAGGCCTCGGAGGTCCTGCCTAGACTGGCTGTGGTCAGAGGTGCCCCAGGGGATCCCCTGCATTCCCGACACACTCCTTCCCAGCCCCATTGAGCAGCAGACCTTTTCCCCTCCACAAGCAACAGTATCAACACACGACACCCCCCCAGCCAGCTTGGTCAACCCTCGGCTTGCCTGCTTTGCCTGTCCATTCAGTAGCATCAGAAAACCCTCAGGCCACAAGGCGAGCTCAACGCGCGGGTGCGAGTCAATAGAACCAAAGTCTGGCCCTGAAGGAAGCGCCCTTGCTGTGGGAACCAGCAGAGCTCAAGGCTCTGGGGATGGAGAGGAACTCCACGGGAGCTTAGGCAGGACGGGACAGGAGCTGCTCCCACTGTCACCCCCTGAGTCCTGAGGCCGGGGATTCTGACTGTAGACAAACAGCACCGTACACTGGTCACCACTTGCAGTATTTCGGCCTCATCCTGTAAAAGACAAAACCTCCGCCTCTCAGCACGGTTCCCCAACGGCGACAATCGCGGAGTCTGCAGCTCGCCAAGCAGCCGGCCAGGCAGGGGCCTCAGGGCGATGAGGACCGTAGTAGCGCCAGTGCTGTCCCTCAGCACAAGCACACGCGGGCACCTGTCCTTTGCCTTTCCCTGATTTTTTTTAAAGATTTTATTTATTCATGAGACACACACACACACAGAGAGAGAGAGACAGAGGGAGAAGCAGGCTCCATGCAGGGAGCCAGACGTGGGACTCGATCCCAGGACCCCAGGATCACACCCTGGGCTGAAGGCAGGTGCTCAACCACTGAGCCACCCGGGCTGCCCTCCCTGATTTTTTTTTAAAGTAAATGCTACCCCTGGGGGTGCCTGGGTGGCTCAGTTAAGCATCTGCCTCATGGCTCAGGTCGGGATCCCTGGAGCCCACGCAGGGCTCCCTCAGCGGGATTCTGCTTCTCCCTCTCCCTGTGCCCCCCCTTTCCCACCCCCCTTCTCAAATACATAAATAATTTTTTTTAAAGATTTTTATTTATCAGAGAGAGAGAGACAGAGGGAGAAGCAGGCTCCACACAGGGAGCCCGACGTGGGACTCGATCCCGGGTCTCCAGGGTCACACCCTGGGCCGAAGGCGGCGCTAAACCGCTGAGCCCCCCGGGCTGCCCCACAAATAAAATTTCTTAACAAGTAAACTCTACCCTCAACATGGGGGCTCAAACTCACGGCCCCAAGGTCCGCAGTTGGCTTGCTCTACTGAGCCAGCCAGGCCCCGGGTCTGCGGCTGCTCTCCTTCCGTGACACACTGCAGAGGTGAGCAAGGTGCAGCGAGTCGATGGGGGAGGGGACGCGGGCGAAGCGTGGCTACAGCGACGGCCTGTTCGGGCGCCCGAGCTGCTGCCCCTCGGGATGGACGCAATCCGATTCCATCACTCTGCCGCAGGCAGCTGGCTGGTCACCCCGGGGGGTGCTACCCGACTGGGGGCTGTCCCCACTGTGGGCGGGCTGGGCCCATGGCAGCGGCAGCGGGTGTGACCCTATCAACCGATGCCTGTCCCTGGGAGCCTCCCCGCTTGTTGCTGGTTCCCTGGGCCTTGCTGCCACCTCGGACGCCTCTCAGTTCAAGCCCCGGGTCTACCATTTGCTTCCCCCTGAGACCTTGACCAATATACGCAGTCATGAAGAAGTCCCATGAGGTTACAGGTGTGAGTTAGGGACAACTAGGGCCTGGGAGACGTGAGCCCCTTGCTCGAGCGACTTTCTTGTACCTTCTACAGCTGCTCGAGACTGGTGTCAGATGCCGACGATCACGTGCAGGGGATGCTCAGTTGGCAGCCAGTGTACCAGGAGCAGCTGCGGCCACGTGGTTCCTACAGCTCCACGGGCAGGCATTTGGCCTTTGCGGCCCAGGAGCAAGCCAGAGGCTGGTGACCAAAAGGAAAAGATTTCTTTTGTGGTAGAACGTATTCTTTGCTTCGAGACTCCAGCGGCCCGCGGAATGGTTCTCCTGCTGGGACTGGCCGGAGGCTCCACGTAGCCTGCCCGTGGGTCAAAGGGTCTGTTCATCTTGCAGCTACACGATCAGAAAGGTCAAGCGGCCTGGGCCTGCTCCAGAATCTTCCCTTGCCCTCGGTGCTGCTGGAAACATGCAGCCTCACAGATTGTGAGCATCAACAGCATCACCAGATGCTTGTTGAGTGCATTGGCGGGAAAGAATTTTGCAACTTTTTTTTTTCAGTAGACACTACCCCCAGCTTGGGGCTCAGCTTCCCGACCCTGGAGATCAAGAGTCACCCTCTTCCTACCGACTGAGCCGGCCAGGAGCCTCAGGTGGGGAATAATCAAATGCAACGAGTATATGTTGCCCACAGAATCCGAAGAAGGGCACCAAATGCTGTGTCTCTTTCGAGTGGTAGGTGGTAGCACGAGCTGCAGCAACCTGCTGAACGCCCAACATGCTCCAGACCATCTCAAAGTGTGACGGAGGCTCAGGCTTTTGGGTTTTGGTGTCTTTATCTCCTCTGGCATACGTGTGTGTTAATAAAGTAAGTAGCTTTTGATCACCAGGTCCGGGAAGCATAACGTCTTCAACATGATGGGCCTGCATGAAGTTCAGCAGGACAGTTGCAACCATCAAGTCCCATTGACCCTGGACTACGACAGGGAGCCGGAGGACAGACAGCACCGGGGCAAGGCGCTGAGGCCGTGCTGCGGTTCCTGCCGGATGAAGGCAGGCTGCTTCCCATGGTCTCTGCTGGTTGCATCAGAGGCGAGAGCACTTGTTAGGCAAATAGCCACTTAGCAGCCGCCAGGGGCTGTGCTGATTTGCTCTAGAAAAGCAACAGCATCTGGAATTGCAGCTTCAATTCAAGTCACAGCCTGATTAATTTTACAATTACCCACTACTCCTCTCTGGCCTGACCATATGGAGTAAATAAGCAGGTGATATGGGCAACCGTTCCTGCGTCTTTCAGGAGGCACGAATCAAAATTGCTGCTGCAAGGTCGCTCCTAAATTGCTAGGGAGAGATGACCTGTTTGGATGGCAACTTTTATTTCCCTTTCGTCAAGCCCCTTCCTACCTAGCTTCTTTGCACTCCCGCCTGGGGAGAGGAGATCCATTTGAATAACAAGTGTTTTCCCGCACCAGGATTCCCTCCGCGGCTTCCCCGTTTATTATTATTTTAAAATAGGTTTGGTTTGGCCACTCGTTAAGTGCTATAGATCTTACAACTAGAAGGATGGGGGAGGTGGGGGAAAAAGAACT